AAGGTTCAAGATGGCCTCAATCACATGTCTGTCAGTTGGTGCTGGTTTTTGGCTTGGGGGACTCAGTTATCCTCCATGTGCCTTCTTCAGGTAGCTAGACTAAGATGCTAGTCTCAGAAAGAGTCATGGCAGAAACCGTAAGACCTCTTGAGGCCTTGACTCCAGAGCTCATACAGTATGACCCACCCCATAATCTATTGGTCAAAGCCCAACACAGGGCCAGGCAAGATTTAAATCATGGGGAACTAGACCCTCCATTCTGGATTGGAGGAACTCGCACAGTTTGTGATCATATTTAATCCATCACAATGTTGTGAAACATACGAACTACTTACTATTAAAGAAAATTTCTATTAGCTTTTTTTGGGAACTTCCATAATCTTAGAATTTATGAGGTTATATATTTATAGAGAATTATCTTTGGAGAAATAAAACCAAATTTCTCTGGCAATAGCTGGCATTTTTATACCTGTCATCAGGTCACAAACACTAATGTCTCCAATGAAGCTACAGAGATTATAAACATAACTGAAATGGGCCAGGCAGAGATTGAAGTCATCTGGAATATATATGCTCTGTCTAAAAAAGTAATAGCAGATGGTTATTCTGTGGCAATATGAGCCCAGTGATGCCTGAACTACTGATATTTTAAGATGAAGACAAAATCCCAGTGAGTTAAAGTTATTTTGTGTATCTTCATAAATTGATTTAAAAGCTTTTAGGGAAAGACAGGAGACCTAGAATAGTGAGAACAATACCAAAGAAGAAAGTCAGAGGATGCACACTGCCTGACATCAAAACTCATTATAAAGCTAAATAGTCAAGATGGTGTGATATTGGCAAAATAATAGGTAAACAGATCGATGGAACAAAATAGAGCACCCAGAAATAGACCCACACAAACAGTCAACTGATCTTTCACAAAGGAACAAAATCAAGTCAATGGAGAAAGCATAGTCTTTTCAACAAATGGTGCTGGAACATTTGGACATTCATATGCAAAAAAACCCCCACAAAACCCAACCTACCAAACAAACAAACAAACCTCTAGTCACAGACCTTATACCTTTTTCTAAAAAAATTGACTCAAAATAGATCATTGACCTAAATGTAAAACATAAAACTATAAAAACTTCTAGAAGATAACAGAGGAGAAAATCTAGGTGAGCTTAGGTTTGACAATGAAATTTTAGACCTATAAAATAGTCCATGAAGGGAAAAATTTTCAAGTTGTGATATTAATAATTTTTGCTCTACAAGACAATGTTAAAAGAAAGTAAAAACAAACCACAGACAGAAAATATTTGCAAAACACACATCTGATAAAGGACTTGTATCTAAAATATATAAGCACCAGAAACTCAATGATAAGAAAACAAACAAATCAATTAAAAAATAGGCAAATATCTGAATAGACACCTTGTTGAAAAGGATCTAAAAGATGGAAACCAAGCATATGAAATATGCTCAAGATTATATGTCATTGTGGAATTGCTAGTTAGAACAATTATAATGCTAGGCACATATTAAAATGGCTAAAATCCAAAAAATGACCATACCAAATGCTTAGGAGGATGAGGAGTAACAGGACATTTATTGCTCTTAGGAATGCAAAATTGCAGAGGTACTTTGGAAGACAGTTTGGGAGTTTCTTACAAAGGTAAATAGTTTTACCATACAGTATAGCAATCACTCTTCAAGGTACTTACCCAATTGAGTTGAAAAGTTATGACCAGACAAAAACCTGCACATGGACATTTATAGCAGATTTGTTCATAATCACCAAGCAATCAAGGTATCCTTCCATAGGTGAATGGATAAACAAACTGTGGTACATCCATATAAGGGAATACTATCCAGCAAGAAGAGCAAATGAACAATGGAACCCCCCAAAGACATAGAGGGACCCTAAATGCATATTACTAAGTGAGATAAATCAATTATCAGAAGACTATAAACTGTATAATTCCAACTGTAGGATATTCTATAGGAATATCCTATATTTCCAACTATAGGAAAAGGTGCAACTATAGAAATAGTAGAGAAACCAATAATTTCCTAGGGCTTGAGTTAGGTGTGGTAGGTGAGTGATGAATAGGTAAATCTTAGGGGATTTTAAGGGTGGTGAAACTATATGATACTGTAATGCTGAACACCTGACATTATGCATTTTTCCAAACCCATGCAACTATACAACACAAAGAGTGAACCTAATGTATACTATTGACTTTAGTTTATAATAATGTATCAATATCACTGAATTAATTGTAACAAATGTCCCACCTTCATGTAAGTTGTTAATAATAGGGGAAACAATGTCAGGGGATGGGGACCTGGTCTATGGAAACTCCCTAATCTTCAATTTTTTTAGTAAATTAAAATTAAAAAATAAGCAGAAACATTTTGTGTTGGTTGATTTTGTTTCCTAATAAAAAAAATGTAATTGTTGAGTTGAATTATTGGACCTTTTATGGATAAATATATAGTATTGCACACAGGCACCAGGTTAATTTCCTTTTAGCCGTAAGATCATATTAAGTAGATCTTACTTGATGCTGTGGAGGATATTATTATAGTGTGTGTGTGTGTGTGTGTGTGTGTGTGTGTGTGTGTGTACATATAGTATAGTATATGCTATAGTATATATTATATATAGTATTATACTATATAGTATAGTATATACTATAAATAGTATAGTATATACTGTAAGTAGTATAGTATTATGCAATATATGCAATTGAAACATTTCTGCTGAGGAACAGGTGGTGAAAGTAAAGAAGTAAAGCATTCAGATAGATAAGACCCTGTTATGAAGATAGCTATTTGTAAATGTACATTTTGGGAACTGTCCATTTCAGGAAATTTATTGTTAAGCAACATTATCCTTCAAACTGTTCTCATTTGATTTGAAAAGTCACTTTCAAAAAGGGAAATGACACCTACCACCAGCAATTTTTTTAAAAGTTTTGAGACATTTAAGGACAATAAGGATTAACACATTTCAAAAATTCTTTCAATATTTTCATTGCAAAGACTATTTATTTTTGCTGCTGTAACAACCAGAAAGAGATGTGAGAAGACAGAGAAAGTGTGAATTTGTCTTTCTCCACACAAAGTACTTTAGATGACAATTACCATTCCAACCATTAACAGGAGAATTGGTATTTTTTTATTAATCTAGGGTCTAGCTGTGTGGAGTTGGGTCAGGCCAAGGAAGATTGACAGCAGTGTTAAAATGCGTCCCAGATCTCCTACCTCACTTCCTCTCTGCTCCTCTATGGCTCACACACTATGACACAGTTGGATCTAATTTTCCTTGGCTGTTCTCCATCCACCCTAATACTAGTTTTTAAGATTTCATGGCCTCATTTCCTTTGCTTCAAAATTGTGCTTTGCATTTGAAAAAATGGCACGTTACATGTTAATTCGATTTAATGCATTAAGTTGAAAATAGACAAATTAAACCTTCCTAGAGGGATGCAGATTTTAATAGGGATGTGGAAATATAGCATCTTATCTTAAATGAACTTTGAGTGATAAAAGTTTAGTGAGCAAGCGGGTCAGAGGGTATCACCATGGCTGGGATATCCTAACCATAGACTGCTGTTGGTGTGTCCCAGGCTTTCAGAGTGAAATATATGTGGGGGGTGGAAGAGAAGCCCTTAACTCTCACAGAGTTTTCTCTTGACATTGCACCAGGACTTTATAATTCTTTTTGCTTATTCCACCTGATACAATTTTAGCAACTTTGGAATAAATGAGTTCTAAGGTGAATGGAATGAGTCTTTAGGTTGAAAAGACACTGTTTTAGTTACCTGCTAGTAAAAATGAATAATGTTGGGGCACCTGGGTGGCTTAGTCAGTTAAGCATCCAACTCTTGATTTCGGCTCTGGTCTTGATCTCAGGATCCTGAGATGGAGACCCGTGTCGGGCTCTGCTCTGGGCATGGAGCCTACTTGGGATTTTCTCTCTTCCTCCTGCCCCCTTCCCTCACTTGTTCTCTCTTTCTCTGTGAAAGAAAGAGAAAGAAAGAAAGAGAGAAAGAGAGAAAGAGAAAGAAAGAAAGAGAGAAAGAGAGAAAGAGAAAGAAAGAAAGAAGGAAAGAAAGAAAGAAAGAAAGAGAAAGAAAGAAAGAAAGAAAGAAAGAAAGAAAGAAAGAGAAAGAAAGAAAGAAAGAAAGAAAGAAAGAAAGAAAGAAAGAAAGAAAGAAAGAAAGAAAGAGAAAGAAAGAGAGAAAGAAAGAGAGAAAGAAAGAAAGAAAGAAAGAAAGAAAGAAAGAAAGAAAGAAAAAGAAAGAAGTAAAATGAATAATGTTGGTTCTATAGAACTAGAAAATGCATTGAGTGAGGTAGGATTATACAGGAGCTCTTCATCTACATAGTCTCAGCTCTAGGGACAAACTCTTTGGAATGTTGTTAAAAATTAAAAATAAACAGAAGGCTTAGAAACAGCCTAAGTTACTATTATACAAAAGAAAATTTAGTGTAAGGTCTATTTTTGAAGACAGCAGATACTTTTTTTCAGTACCTTCTACATTCTACCTTCTCAATACTTGTATGTTGTTATTTAACACAGTTCTAACAGCCACTGAAACAATAGACAAAGCAGAAGGAAGTTGAATAGATATTCATGGCAGACAAACTGAACATATCAGAAAGTTACAGGAGATAATGTTTAGAGAAATTACTTGTCATATTGTCTTGTTCTCTAATGAGAAGTCCACAAGTCCTGCAGCCCACAACGAGTGCTTGTCAGTTCAAGCTTCTGTCTGTTGCCTTATACCATGATGTCATCAACAGCTAAGAATATTCTATCATGATCTTAGAAACTAGGGGTGGAAAAACCATTTAGGAGTCTAGTTTATAAGTTTCACTTGTAACTTTCCAGTTTTTCTTCTTCTCTATCAGTGTCTTGTTTGGGAAAAAAATGGTTCAAGCTACATAATTTATCTTTACAGTGTTTTTCATAAAAGATGTGATCCTGTGTTTTCTTTCCACAGACCCAGGGCTGCACAGGCAGCTATATTTTCTGCAAAGACCGTCCAATGTGGTAGCCATTGAAGGAAAAGATGCCATTCTGGAGTGTTGTGTTTCTGGCTATCCTGCCCCGAGTTTTACCTGGTTACGGGGAGAAGAAGTCATCCAACTCAGGTATCACAAATTGAAGACTTGTGAAGTGTGTGTCACTGTTTCCCTTTCTCTAATTTGATATAGGTACCTAGAAATACTAATTCTTGATGATAATTGATTTTTCCCCTGCATTCCTTGACATTATACAACATACGAAAGACATTTACCCAATGCGATAAAGAGATGGGGAACAGAGTCAAAATCTATGAGATCAAGTCAGAAAAGAAATTTAGAAAGCCAGCATTGCTGTTGAAAATGCCCTGTCCAAAAACTATTCAGCAAAGATACTTTGGAGGATGTCATCCTAAGGAAGTGGTATAGAGAGTGAAATATTTATTAAGAAATTAAAGTTTTCTTTTTTATTTTTTAAAGATTTTATTTATTTATTTGACAGAGAGAGAGAGCACAAGTAGTCAGGGTGGCAGGCAGAAGGAGAGGGTGAAGCATGCTCCCCAATGAGCAGAGAACCCGATGTGGGGCTCGATCCCAGGACCCTGGGATCATGACTTGAGCCGAAGGCAGATGCTTAACTGACTGAGCCACCCAGGCACCCCAGGAAATTAAAGTTTTCTGAATTGTATATATAGCATGTCATTATAGGGTCTGTGCAATTTTTTCAGCTGCAGTTATATCTTTCACACTCCAGATATAACAATTATTTAAGATAAGGCAAAAGAACATGGCTGGCTTTGAATTATTAGACGTTCATATTAAGGCATAGTTAGAAAGTAAACTCTTAATAGAATGGAACACTTAGCCTGAAACATTTTGATTAAATGGATTTCACTTAAGAAATTAATTTCATTGACTTGGAGGTCTGGTGTACTCCTTTTTAACACATTTGTTTTCTGTGATGAGATAGGTTCACAGATAATAACTTAAATCTTTAAATTTCATCTCCCCTCTATATTTATATAACAACACTATATGGTATGATGTCACAATACTTCTGAGAATATTAAAACATGTGAGAAATCTGGTTGCAGCTATAGCATGTCAAAACATGTTCTCTGAATTAGCCAGACATTCTTGGTACAGTATGAAGTGTGGCTTTGTACTAAATCAGATGTCAGGACACAAGACATTGACTTCCACTATGGGGAATCACTTCTCTGGAGCTTGTGGTCCTCAAATCCAAAATGAGAGAATTGCACCAGATTATCTGGAAGTTTCTTTTCAGTACTAAGCTTGGTCCCAAGTTTAATCTATTTAATTTCTTTGATCACTGCACATAGCCTTCCAGTGGGAGTGGTTTATCTTGAGTGAATTTTTGATCAATAAATGTGATGTTACCTAGGCCCCCAAAATAGAGGTTTTTTTCTAATTTTATAATTTGATCTTTTGTGGAGTTTATTTCAACCTCTGAGTACCTTGCCTGGTATACACATATGTATCCGTACATTAATCTACTCTCTAATTATATATGCCTGTGTCTTACAGGTCCAAAAAGTATTCCTTATTGGGTGGAAGCAACTTGCTTATCTCCAATGTGACAGATGATGATAGTGGAACTTACACCTGCATTGTTACATATAAAAATGAGAATATTAGTGCCTCTGCAGAGCTCACAGTCTTGGGTAAGTCAATGGCTCGAGATTAGTTTACACTGTCCTTTTCAAAATACACGACCGTGACACTTTAAACGCTTATCCCTGAATTGCGTCCTGTGTTTATTAGTATGAAATTGTGAAGTCCCAATATTCCATACATGTCCTTACTTTACTTTGATTAATTGCAAAGGGTTAAAAGCAGTGTTTGAATACTTGTTCATTGACTGAAATCTAGACGCAGCACTCTTTGGGCTAATTATTCCAATGATACAACTTGAATCTATGAAAAATTATTATTTAACAAACGTGTTAAACAGCAAATGAGTTAAATAACAAATGAGAGATTCCAATAGGCATGAATGAGAGAAATTGTATAAATAATATGCGCTTGAGTGGAAAAGTCAGATATCATTTGAGATGACAGGGTTCCTGACATTAAATTCAAATGTCTTGGTAAGATTGTTTTGTTAATATGGAAATACTGTAGATGTTATGTTGAGGGTGAACCAATAAAATCAAATATATCTAAGGAAAACACATAGAAAGAATCTAATTTTAAAAATTTAAGGGGGGTTGGATGGTACATATTATTCAGAAAGACAGGGTCCCCGTGTATCTTTGTAAATTAATAATTATTATATGTGGTAGGTACTCAAACACATATTTTATCATCTACCCCAGATTTTTTTTTTAGTCAGTTTCATTTGAATTACGTAATTTGGAGAAAGTGCTTTACCATTTGAATTCCAATTGCTTTTTCCTGTAACAGCAACAACAAAAACTTGTTTACCAGTCTTTGGATTTTTCCCTCTGGAATAAGTCTTTTTACCTTGTAAAGAGTACAGGAAAAATCATAGGCGCTTTAAAAATTATTCAGTAGAAATGAAAAGGTATGGTATGCTGATTATATCTGCTAACCTGTACCATAATAGTATTATGCTATCCATTTTACTTTTTGGCTTTAAAGTTTATTCAGAAAATGCTTTCATCTTCAGATAGGGTAATAATGTATGTGATGGGTGAGGCAAAGGAGTAGTTTGTTCTTTGATCAAACCATAAATATTAAACTAAGAATAGAAAAAGGACTTGAATTCTTTGGTTTTAGAGGTAGCATTATTCTAACTAAAATAGCTTGTCTTTAAGATGGCAGCAATTTAATATAGTCATTTTATATGAAAGTTTTTGGTGAAACAAAGAACTTTTACATTTATAACATCAAGGACAGCAACACAGAATAACTATACAGAAATTATTTTATAATATATACTACTGATCATAAGGCAAATGCAGTTATAGAATTACCTAGAATTTATAGTGATCATGGGTAAACTTCTAATTGCAAATATATGAGGTCAAATTTTATATCAAATTAATACACAATATTTGGACACATGATGCTTCATTGATATCTAAGCCAATTGTACATAAATTATGATTCCTGAGTAACTTAGCCAAGAAATATATGTAGGAATATCCATATATGCACATATATTGGCATCCATAGCATCTTCTTCTGTGTGTCCTGTGAGCATGTATATGTTCTCCAGTTCTTTATTGTTGAGCACTGTCTTGTTTCCAAATTCTATTTAAAAAAAGCACACACGGGCGCCTGGGTGGCTCAGTCATTAAGCATCTGCCTTCGGTTCAGGTCACGATCCCAGGGGTCTGGGATCGAGCCCTGCGTCGGGCTCCTTGCTCAGCAGGAGTCTGCTTCTCCCTCTCCCACTCCCCCTGCTTGTGTTCCCTCTCTTGCTGTGCCTCTCTCTGTCAAATAAATAAATAAAATCTTAAAAAAAAAAAAGCACACACAAACAACAAAAGCACTGAGATGATTATTCTGTATCTTTATCATTTATTTGCTTATATGCTAAGGAAAAGTATCACAACAATGTTTATACTCACACCAGCAGTGCAAGAATTGCCTGTCTCCAAAAGAATACATTTCTCTCAGAGCACCTGGGTGGCTCAGTGGGTTAAGCATCTACTTTTGGCTCAGGTCACGATCCCAGGGTCTTGGGATCCAGCCCTGCATTGGGCTCCCTGCTAGGTAGGGAGTCTGCTTCTCCCTCTGCCTCTCTCTCTCTCTCTGCCTCTCCCCTCCACTCGTGCCCTCTCTCTCTTAAATAAATGAGTAATAAAAAAAAAAAGAATACATTTCTCTCTACCAATATTTGCCTAACAATTTTATAAAATGGACTCTCTTTGTTCTAATTTTCACCCTTACTAAATTTAGATTTATTTTTATAGTTTTACTGGACATTTGCATTTTATATTTTGTGAGTTAGCTGTCAATCTTTTTGACCTTTATACATTTATTAAAATATTTATCTTTATTTTGTTGATTTGCAGGAACTATTAATATAGGAAGAATAGTAACTATTCTGTATAGGATCTGTGTGTATGTATTTTGTTATTTCTGGTTTTCTGTTTTTATTTTATATTTTGTATAGGATACCAAGTATTTTTTCATATAGCTGCTGGCTTTGTTGCTGTTAGATTCACGTTTTCATTATAAATGAATGACCCTATTTCCAAAAATTTCATTTTAGATTATATGTTGAATGTGTAAATTAGAAGAATTATTAATTTAAAAATATAGATCAAGTTGTGTTTATGTCTTGGTTCTTTTTTATTTAATTCTCTTGGTAACTGGGTATACATTTTAAAGATCTTCCACATACCTAGTATGATCTGTAACTATTTTAAAAGGTATGATTTAATTCAGGAAATGATCATAATACTGTTTTAAGTATTCTACCCAGGCTTTAAAATGAATGTTGCTATAATAAAATCTTTGATATATTCTTTGACTATTCTAATGTAAAGTTAAGCTCATCCTGCAGGACTGGGTTTATATGGAAAATGTAATTTATTACTTTTTCTTTAAAGATGGGATGGGGGGGCACCTGGGTGGCTCAGTTGGTTAAGTGTCTGCCTTTTGCTCAGGTCATGATCTCAGGGTCCTGGGATCGAGTCCCACATTGGGCTCCCTGCTCAGCGGGGAACCTGCTTCTCCCTCTCCCTCTACCCCTCCCCCCCACTTGTGAGTTCTCTCTGTCTCTCAAATAAATAAACAAATTAATTAATTAAATTTAAAAAAAAGATGGGGAAAAAAGAACTTCATTACCAGTGTTATTCAAATACTTTTCATTAGTTTTAAGAATTTAACCATAACGTAGATTCTTCATAAGATAAAATTCCACAAGAAATCCAAGCTTGTGCTCATAAGTTTTAATCACGCATTTTATCAGACTTCTGTTTTGCCTTTCTTGGTCCATCCTTACACTTAGACTGGCTTTGAATGTGAACCTGCAGGAACTAACAGACTTTTCAAGTATGATACCATTTTATATACCATAAGAGAAATTCTGTGGTCTTCCTTATGAGTTTCAGAGTTAATGAACATTAAATATAATTTAAAGCATTTACACTATAAAGTGAATATTGAGAGTTCCATAATAGTGAAACTTCTTGGGGAAATCTGTAATAGACAAGATTAAGGAAAACTTGTCTAAAGTACATGAACTATAAGGAAATAAATAGGTGTGTTCTTAATCATAACCATTTATGTTAATGTTTCTGACCTCTTAAAATATTCATCAATATAGTACTGGTGGATGTATTTGAGTATATGTACTGCACTAGGTTCTGGGAAGGCTACAAAAGGTTTAAAGTCTGGCTTCAAAGGGCTTGTAGTATTATTACAAATTCATACAATCAATTGCCCTAATCAATTGCCTGCCTTCAGAGTAAGTTTTTTTTCCCTCTATTTTGCATGTTAACATGAACTCTGTGAAGATATGAAGAGTTGATAGTCTTTGCTCTCATGAAAGATAGAACCTAAAGAAGTGTTGGCAGGAAGAAAAGCTGAAAAGGGGGTTGCAGAAGGAGGTTTTCTGAATACTGTTGCCAGCTTACATTCTGTTTAAATCACACATGCCATGATGATTTTTTTAAACTTTTTTTTTAAAAAGTTTAAACTAAAGAATGATATTCTGATCATTATTATTTTCCAAATAACCAGCTTTTTGGCTCAGAAATTATAACTGCCTTTAATAAACATTCAAGAGATTGGCTCCTGCCTTAGATCTAGACCGGTCTGATGTCTGGATCAATGCATAAATGCATAGTTAAAAAAAAAATTTGATCTTTAACCAAGGAAGTGCCCAACCTTGGACAAACTCTTTTTTTTTTTTTAAAGATTTTATTTATTTATTCACGAGAGACAGAGGGAGAGAGAGAAGCAGAGGGAGAAGCAGGCTCCCAAGGAGCAGGGAGCCTGATGCGGGACTCGATCCCAGGACCCTGGGATCATGACCTGAGCCGAAGGCAGACGCTTAACCATCTGAGCCACCCAGATGCCCTTGGACAAACTCTTAACATTGCCCATGCACACACAAGAGATGGGTGGAAAGTTCACTCTTGAGGAGAAGCCATTAGGTCTAACGGTGACAAAATGAAAACAGTTTTGAACTTTCTAGATTCTAGAATTTTTTTAAAAGCAGTCTGATGAGCATTGGGTGTTATACACAACTAATGAATCATTGAACACTACATCCAAACCTAATGATGTACTATATGTTGGCTAATTGAATTTAATAATAAAAAATAATTAAAAAAATAAAAAAATTAAATAGGTCAAATCAACTAAAGGTTTGGGCAGATTAGGTGGAAGGTTCTGATTTTTAAAAGTTTTTAAACTATAAAATACATTCTATCTTAAAGTGTATATATTTACAGTTTCAATAATAAAATGAGAAGCCATGTACCCCCGTCCAGTTTAAGAAACAGAACATAACCCTGTGTGCTCCTCCCCAAACTCATCCCCTTCCCTCTCCACCCCAGAGGTAACCATTATCCTGAAGTTTGTGTTTACCTTGCCTTACTTTTCTTTATAGCTTTATCACATTACATGCATTCCTAAATAAAATTTTAGTTATGTCCATTTTTGAAATTTAAAAAAAAAGCAGTCTGCAGCAATATAAATAATATACTATTAAAAATTTACCTTAGTGTGTAGGTTTTCT